TATACAAAAAAAATTGTGTTGATATCATATCTTAATAAAAATAGTATTCAAGTCATTTGTGTCTTGGTTTTACATTACACTAAAGCACAGCAATTCAGTATTCAAATGGATTGCATTAACACTCTATTCAGTAAAAGAGAGAAATGATCACCATGGATTTTTTCATCTCTTTGCAAATTATAAATCAAACATAAAGACCTCGCATTGTTCCTCTTGGTTTCTCATACTACCTATATTATAGAATGTGAACCTAACATTATTATCTGTTTTTAAAAAAATCAACCAAATACAAAAAAGAATTGAAACATTCACTAACTATTATTCTTATTTAAGTTACAGGAAAGATATAATATCTACTAAAATCAAAATACATAATCTCACTTGTAAAAGATATGTATCAGATCCATTTCCATTCGTTTCTCTGCTAAGTTCTAAATTTTGCATTGTATTTGTACTACTTCCTACGTACAAAGTTATAAGGGAAAAATATTTGTTTATGCAGCTTTGTATTTTTACCTTGGCAACATTTATTCAGATTTTGAATTTAAAAATCTTAAAAAAAACTGTAGTATGTCTTATTATAAAATTAAATGACATCATTTTGCAGGAATGAAGTAAGTTATAATATCCAAGATTATTACAGAATAAAACATGTCAGTATCCAAATACATACATTACATAATTCTCAGTATAATCTATGTAATATTCTAAGTGCAATGGAAAATACCACATTCTTTGGCTAAAGAACAGAAGCGAAGGTGTATGTCCCTACAGAAGTGCAAACGAATGTTACAACTCACACTTTCTTTTTTACGAACATATGAGCAAAACTTACACAAACTTAAGGGTTTTGCAATGCAACTTTATTTGGTAATATGGAAAGTTCTATATATCATATAGAGTCATAAATTACTAGTAAAAATATATATTATTATGCTTGTCATTATCTGTATCTTGTGGATGTTATCTGATATTGCTTTTTGTTATTCACCGGTATCAACTAGCCACTGCACACATGAGTATGAGAATCCTATATGGGAAGATTGTGTTTCTCAGGAAATTCTGAAATATGCAGTAAAAATATATAGATAAATAACTCTAACTTCTTTCTTATTAAGCTTGATTTGGTTTCCTCCGCAAAAATATCCAACCTTCAGCCTCCTAACATATACATTATGTTATAGCTTATTCCACTCTTTCATTAAACAAATAAAGTGATATGTAGTACTCTGGAGAGATTCTAAGCTCCCTTCAACTGATCAGGTCTTTTCAAGAGATTCTTGAACTGCAGCAGCATTTTCTAGAAGCATGCTAAATTCTTGATGCTGTAAAGAAAATAAAAGAAGAAAATCTACTTTAAAACACTGCATCGCTTAAATTTACCTCTACTAACTCAGTGCAAAGAATGTTTGAAGATAAAAAAATTGAGGAAAAACAATTCAAATTAGCACTTCACTGACACAAGAAGAGAGCTAATGCATTAAGATTTTGAACTCAAAGAGAATACTACTTGTAAATTAAGAGGAAGTTGTAGGAAAAATCCATTTCTGAGTTTTGACATAAAACCAAATAATAGTATCAAGAAGAAGTCTTCACAGACTAACAGAAAATAAATCAAATTGATCTATGCTAATGAAAGAATATGTGTTTGTGCTGTTCTCTGAAAAGTACACCATAATTACATAACAGCTACAGAACAAAATAATAAATTGGAATGTTTAAGAAACTTTTACAGAATTTTTAGAATTCAATTACAAAGCTTCAACTTACAAAAATACATTAAGTAATATTAAGTAATATTACTAAAATAAGACAAAAGCACATGAAAGATAAAAAAAGAAAAGTCTATCTTATAAAATGGATACTAGACAGCAGATTCACAGTTATAAAACTTAATTAACATAAAATTTAATCCTAGTAACAACTAAATGCATCAATCAACATGGGTTGTGAAATTAAAAATGCAAAATTGTTTTCATGTAAATGATTCATACGTCAAAAAAGCTTTTTCCTAATCACTCATCTTACCTTAACTCCTCGAATTGTCTCCCTCATCTTCTTTTCTTGTCTTTCCTGATCTAAAGTTGTTTGCACTGCTTCCAGTTGGGCCTGAATTTTTTCAAATATTTCAGTTAAATGCTACCCTCCATTCCATTAATCATCAACATATAGAAAGTTTAAAGTATGTCAAGTGAATCAAACAAAAGTTTTATTACTCTGTCAACATTCAATTAAAAGTCTAATAATAATCTAATTATGAAACTTACCTGCAAACGCAAACATTTTTCCTGCATGCGCGTAGCATTCAGTCTTTCTTGACGTGCTTCTTCACGTGCCCTTCTTGCTGAATCCTGTGCTTCTGATGATAGTCCCATTTGATTTTTCTTTGTAGCATCTAATTCTGCAGTTAGGATGTGATTCTCCTAAGAATGAGAGTGAGAGTGAGAAACAGAGATAGATGTTAGGTTCATCTTTTATGATGGTTGATAGGCTATTTATAACAAGAAAAAAAAAGGAAAAAAATTCAGGAGGCAATGAATCCCTTTCCTCAACTAATACCAAAATTTCATCCCTAGATAACATTACAGCCAAGGTGTAGCTAACCATTGCAAGAGAAGACACTTCTTCCTGAAGCCACTGTGAGGAGTGGTCTATGGATTTCAAATGTTCTGTCCTCTGCTGAAGAAGGCGGCCCACTTCTGTTGTCACATTTCCAATAGCTGCACTGACTTCAAGTCCTGACAGTAATGATGAAAGTTGTTCTTCAAGACTTGATACTTTCCCTGTCAGGTCTTCAAGTTCTGAAAAATAATTAAAGCTTATGTGACCTTTTTTTTCTCTATAGACACACACTGAGACTGCAAAATCCAGCACAGAGATCTTTAAGGTATAATGTTCTAATCTATTAGAATACAGTATACCAAATGGTATTTGTATCACACTAACCTTGATTTTTGCTGGTAATCTGGGTAGAAACAGACTCCTGTAAGCTGCGTATAGCACGATCCTTCTCACGCAGCATTGCATGAAGCTGTTCCTCTCTCATCTGTCCATCACCAACATCTTTCACCAGAGACTAGTAATGAATTTTTAAAAATCATTAATCAGTGGAATAAAGTCTATTAAGCAGAATTGATCTTTAAGAAAGTTTGTAATACTGACCTGTACATGATCAACAGTATCAGCTCTTAAGCTGGAGGAAAAGAGGCTGATGCTGCTTCCATATTCTGAACTTGAGTCCCTGGAGGAAATTGCACCAGTCCGGCTGTCATCAAAGCTCTTGCTTTTGTCCCCGCTACTGAATCTCTTCCTGCGTGTTAGGCTCCAAATACGTTCTTGCAGGTTTTGAATCTACATGGGAAATATTACATTTTAGGTGGTATATATTCATCAAGCTTCATTTTGCCAAAAAAGAATTCCATTTGTCAGAAAGAAGTAATAAGTAACATTTTATTATATTTTCCCAATTCATGATATCATTATAAAACTGGTAATCAAAATCACTAAATACATTTAGTGATTTTAGTGATTTGGTCATCGCATCTTATAACATATACACAGTTTAGATTTACAGTACTCATACCTTCTTATTAGCATCACTGTTTTCCTCTGCTAGAGCTGCTGACCGATGCCTTTCCATCTGCATCTCAGTCCGCAGCTGCAGAAACTTAAAATCAGCTGACCGTATCTGTCGCTCTAGATCACATTTCACAGCCATGCTATTATCCACCTGGTTTGATGAAAAAGACATCACTAAATTAAAGAGAATTATGTAAGACACTGTAACAGAATTTAAGGCAATCATCTTCTTGCAAAATGACACCTATCAATCTCCTTGCTTACTTTGTCTTGTAAGATCTTCAGAGTTTCGGCATGCTCGACTTTGAGATTTCGAACATCAGACCTTAGTACTGATGCTTCCTCTTGGACTTTCTCATGCTTTTCTTGTTCAGCATGTAGTGCAGTCTCTCTGTACAAAGAAAATTAAATCTTCATAGTGACAACTAAAAAGAGATTACGATTACCCAAACTAAAAAAGTAACAATAATTATTTTTTACTTATCTGCTCTCTGAAAGACACGAAAGCTTTTATCCTCTGTAACATATATATATTTCAACAATGATAAGTGATGTACAATCTTTTCCATTCTTTTAAAACAACTTTCACACTTACAGATCTACAACCCTCTTGGACAGACTCTGCTTTTCAGCCACTGTCGAGTCTAACTGCAAGCGTAACTGATCTATTTCTGCTTGCTGGTGCTTCAGAGTTGACCTCAACCCTTCAACTAAAAGGCCATTTTCCTCCTGGATAAAATTTCATCAATTTGAAGGCACGATTAAGAATTGTTATGGTCTATATCAGAGAACATTACATAGATATTCAAGACAGTGATATTCAATCATCCTCATGAAATTAATGAATGCAATAAAGCTGACAAAAACATTATTCAACCATATATACTTACATCTACCAGTTTGACCTGATCTGCTTTGAGACTGAGCTGATTCCTAAGCTCCTCTATTGTAGATTCATCTGCCTGATTCTTTTTAAGAGCATTATGAAGACTGTGTTCCAGTTCACTTACTCTGGAACAGCAAATAATTAATCATAACCATAAGTGTGTATAAAGCATTTTATGAAAGTTCCTATATTTCTGATATAGTCATATTTCAGTGGTCTCACAAATTCCTACATAAAAATTAGTTTTTTTCCCAGCTACATCAGCTCATGAAATTATCCACTATTCTCTGCGGAAGACAGTAATAAAAATTGAATATACCACCATTTTAATGAAATATAAAATACTGTATCAGACTGATGGCAATTCTATTTACCAAAGTAAAATACTATATTCATATCGAGGCAATAAAAAAAATAAAAGTACAAAGAAAGATCTAAAAAATGAATCCTCACAACCTAAAATTGCTAACCTTGAGTCCATTGTTCGCTGAAGCTCTGAAACTTGATGCTGAAGTCTCTGTCTTGTCACCTCGTGCTCCGCTGTCTGTTTCTTAATAAGCTCACTTAGGCGTGCTCTCTCTGCACTGTAATATCAAATTTGTCTTATCTTTACCACGTACATGATCTGTTATTTGCGAAAACAAGACTTTTTTTATACACATGTCCAAACACTTCTTACAACTTTGGTAAATAACTATCAGTAACAAAAGTAACATCACAATGCAATCAGAAATTTAATATGAATCTGAATCAGATCTTGTTCAGAAAGAAAGTGACGTGCAACATTACTGTGAGTCATTCAGGCTCTCCTCCGCTTGTGCCAAGCATTGCTTCAGGGAGGTGTAGTCCCGGTTGTTGTGTTCCTTCAGGCGCAGTAGTTCAAGATCTGAAGTTCTCATTCTAGGAATCAGGTAAGATGGAAGATGAAGAAATAAAATTTGGGGAATGGAAAGATCATACAAATATTCCTGATCAACCAAAAGCACACTCAAATCTTAATTGTCTTTGTAAAGCATACACCAATATCTTTATATATATGGTATATAATAATATATATATATATATATATATATTATATATATATATATATATATATATATATATATATATATATATATATATATATATATATATATATATATAATGTATATATATACATATACATATATATATATATATATATATATATATATATATATATATATAATATATATATATATATATATATAATATTATATATATATATATATATATATATATATATATATATATATATATATATATATATATATATATATATATATATATATATATATATATATATAATATATATATAATATATATATATATATATATATATATATATATATATATATATATATATATATATATATATATATATATATATATATATATATATATATATATATATATATATATATATATATATATATATATATATATATATATATATATATTATATATATATATATATATATATATATATATATATATATATATATATATATATATATATATATATATATATATATATATATATATATATGTATATATATATATATATATATATGTATATATATATGTATATATGTATATATGTATATATGTATATATGTATATGTATATGTATATATGTATACATATTATGTAAATATAAATGTAACATATGTACATATTCATCATAATTTGGAAAAAATATATTACATTTAACCATCTTTGCCTCCTCTTACATTTGCATTATATTTAAGGGGGTAAGCAGAGCTTAGGGAAAAAAAATTACCACACACTCCCGTTCCATGTGTGGTAGAAAGAAAAAGAGAAAGTCCAAGAACATCTGAGGAAAATTGTTGCAGTTAAGACACATATCATTCCTGTTTGAAAGCAAAAATATGGCTTGCTTTCACCAACTCCCATCTCCTTTACCATTAGGCATTCTACCTCTGCAGTTTTCTCTTGCTTTAAATCCACATTAATATTTTAATGGTGCATTACTTCTTAATCTCAATGAGTAAGGACATGTGAAAATCATGTACCACTATATCATAGCATGATGACATTCCATTAGGTATGGGAATCTTTTACAAATCCTATCATAACAGCAATAGATATACCTGATGACTATTCAATGCTAATATTAGTCATTAAAAAATGGGTAGCATCTGTACAGTATATCCCTTTTTTGAATATCTATCAAGATATATGGGCTAAAGACATTGGCATAAAAAGTACCTTACAAATCACCCTGAAACTTGCACACATTGTTTTAGAAATTTAGACACAACTGTACTATTTCAAAAGTACTAACCTTGCTTCTTTCTGGAGGACAGCCTCTCTCAATGAGTCTATTTCGAGGGCACATCGCTGGAGCTCCTCTTCTAGACTGCGTGAACGTGACGTCTTTCTTTTGAGTTCTCCAAGCAAGAGTGTCATTGCAGATGTAATATCTTCTAAGGTCCGCAAGGTGCTTCTTCTTAAAAGTTCAAAGAGAAAATAAATTTACTTCTTTCTTAAACTGAAATTGATGATATGTAGTACCTTTATTTTATATACAATCTGTAACATGCACAGAATTTAAACATTCTCTCTACCTTCTCGGAGAAGTAATGGCCATGAAATGCTCCAAGCCACTTGTTGAAAGTCCCTCTTCAACTTGCTGTAACAACTGCATAACGCACTGGTCCGTTCGAACTGCATCCTCTTCCTGCTCTATTAGACGAGCTTCCATACTTTGCATCTGATATGACAGTTTACAGTATCAATCAATTATCCGAAACTAGTATACTCCCACAATTTATCAATACATACTTTAGATAAGAAATTCCCTAATTTTTCCTATTAATATCTATTGGACAGAACAAACATTAAATAGATAGAATAACTGTTTCACCTCAAAAAAAACATATACATAAGTATGACATTTGCCTATATTGTCCTAAAGGGGTTAAAAAGGAATTTCATTATCTTACATCTTTTCCAATTATACATTATCAATCTACCTAGTGGCATAGCTAGGAGCCAAAGTGGGATAGGCTATTTCATAGGTGGGCCACTATATGAGTGTGCTTACAGAATAATAACAATAATAATAATAACAATAACAATAATAACAATAATAACAATAATAATAATAATAAAAACAATAATAATAATAATGATGATAACAATAATAACCACATGCTGCCGGGGATGGCATGTGCGTATATGCCACGCCCACTGTGTTTAATTTGGTAATTGTTTTTATATATAGATGGCTCTACAAGTACTAGGTCACCAATGATCCAGTTACAAGAAGTACTTGTCTCACCTGTTTACCCTTTTCCTTGATTTTCAATAATATTTTCTAGCATGCTATATCTTTAACTGAAATATCTGTATAGACATGGATAATGCAATAATACTAAAGACAGACAGGAAAAGATAGACAAATCTTAATTGCTTGTGAATACCTCTATTTCTTTCTTTAATGGGGCAGATTTCAGAGATGAAGGTTTGACAGACAATATACACATTCACTGTAAGACCACAAACTACAAATGATTAAACTATTGCTAGACATCTTTCAATTACCTGTTTAGAAATGTCATCATCTCCTCTATCAACTCACTGCAACATCAAACAGTTTACAATACAAAAACAAATGACCACACATCTATTACAAGAATAATAAAAGAATCCAAAGATAATTTTCTAAAATAATAATTGGCTCTTCATATAATGATGTCAGAAGCATCACAACACATTAACGCATCTACGAGCTTTAATCGACTTGCCTGAGACACGACTCCCTGTAGCTGAACTGCCGCAGAATTGAGCTTGGCCTCCAAAGTAGAATGCTGGGCTTCATATTCCTCAAGTTCTTCAAGTGCATTATCAGCTACGCAAGAAGTTTCTGTCTTTAGCTGCAAGGTCAAAACCTGCCGCAACAGCCTTGAAACAGAAAATAATTTATCCACATTATTAAAAAGAATGTAGTGTACTAATATGGTACAATTGCAATGAAGAAAAATAAACTAACAAAATATATGTATTACTGTATAATGATATATCAGAGTAATCATAGCAAGATTTTACACACCCTTCCTGTAGGTACTCAGAGGAAGTTCATTCAGAAATTCAAATCCTGAGTCAGATTTACAGAGGTATTTGTGAAGGATGGAAATAATGCTGGGCACATTGATATAGATAGATAATAACCCTCTCTGACTGGGACCTAAAAAAAAAAAAAAAAAAAAGAGAGCCACAAAATACATGAAGAGTATGAATAAGCAACTTACCTCAAAACATGTGCAAGACTGCTGGTCGAGTTGAGGGATAATTTCAATAGTTTACTGCACTCGTCATGTACAGCGGTTGATATCTCGACAGAAGTCCCATTCCTGAACGAGAAGGTAATATTAAGTATTTTGTAAATGTTAATGACTGTACATGATTTACTTATCTTTCTCTCCAAAAAATATCTCATTATTTTCTTTATTTTTTTTCTTATATTCTGCAATAAGGACTGTAAATTTTATCATTATAAATAGGTACAAGAGACAATGAAAGTCTGAACTGATCATAAGAATATGTTAAGGAGTGAATTACACTGTTATAATACATAATGCAGGTAGCTATAATTTGTCTAATTGAATAGCCATTCCAAATTATCAGTTTGCATTTATCTTACAGGTTTAGCAAGATTCCAAAAAGAAAAGATTAGTTGTTTCAAAAAATTAATCAAAATAAAAACAGATTTAAAAACTAAAATCAAGAATTGTAATTTCAGAAAAAGGTATGAATGAACAAGTGTATTTGACTGGTCTGAACTATATACATCAAATACATATCTTGCACTGTGAAGATATTCGTTCTCATTCATATTTTTTCTGCATTTGTCACGATGAACATTGTTCAGTTGTAACTTTCTTTTATGAACCAAATTCTCCAAGCATTAAAATATATATCCCTTAAGGATATATACATCTATGTTTTTATATAATATTTCACCTCAGGATATATTACATCTACCAGATCACTCTAATAAAATATAAAATAACATATTTGATATTCTAGATATACAAAGCTTGTTTAGAAAATCCCATATACACTAAAAGCTGTTATAAAAATTAATTGCGTTCACAAAATATCAAAAAGGTTATAAGGATTTCTTTAACAACCAATACTTTCCAAAAACCACTCCATAATCACTTTTATTTTTCTAATTTAGTTCACTGTCATAACTATAAAAATAAAGAAAAAGGCTTTAGAGAGGCTGTATATGCACTAAAGAAATAAGATGTCAAAAAAAATGTAAAGAAAAAAAATCTCAGCAAAAAAAAGGTCATGATTGATATGACAAGACTTTGTCAAGCAAATAAAACTACCTGGTTTGGTCCTTAGCATCCTGGGAAGAAGAGCATAAATGAGATAAAATCCGGCTATGACTTCCAAGATGAAGTTTTGACAAATACTGAAAGGTGACCCCTTAAAAGATTTCTTTTACAAAGCTGATGCACTGATTATTAATCAAGACATATTTATGGTTATCTGAATCTGAGAAAAACAGAATCAATGATAACTGAGGCCATGCCTGTCTAAAAGTGTTTTCAGACCAACTGCCCAAAAATGCATATATTATATATAATGTTGGTTTAAACTTTCATCTATAACATAAGCTTCAATATATTTCCATTAAGGCACTACAACAATTTGACTGCAATGCATTAATATGGGCATATCAATGCTATACATGAAAGTTTATATTAACAAAACACATCTTTGGACAACTGGTTTGAAAAAACTTTGGACACAAAGCCCTCAATTCATCATGTGAAGTTTTCTTTAGTTAAAAATTCACTTATTTAGTATGATACACATCAGAACCAATACACATCAAGCCTGAGAAAGATATCAGTAATGAAGACAAAGTCATAATGAATTAAGAAACTCACCTAAAACTCTCACGAAAGGGAACACTATCACCAACTCCCCCTATGGATGGTCTTCCTTGGGGATTCTGAGATTCTTCACTCGCAAACTCTCGGATTGATGAATTACACACTTCTTTCACATCCTTGCTAACTCTTGTTCTCTCCTCGTAGGCCTCTCTGTCTTGATTCATGCTCCCCATGGAATCTAGAGATAATCGTGGTATATCATCTATGTTCATTTTTTCTGCTGTCTCAAGGCTGGGTGTGAAGAAGTGATCTATGCTTTGTGAACCTCGGCTGGTGCTGTGTGATGAATGACAGTGATTTCTTGGTATGTCTTTATCAGAGGCATACACATTAGTGAACTTTCCATTTACTTCATTCGCAGCTTGTATATTAGATTCGTGAAGAAAGCTTCCTGAAGTCAGAGCTTCATCAGCTCTGTTAGGTTCTTTATTGTTGCCAAAATAACCCGAGTCAGTATCCCCAACAAATTTTTGTGAATGGCTGTAATAGTTCTTTATATTTTTTAAGGGAGTGGTGAGTCCTAGGCCTTGCTGAGGGCCTCTTGGTGTATTTTCCTTCGAAGGTGATATCCCTGATGCACTAAAGTGAGACTGTCGAAGCTTTGCTCTTTCTAATGCCAGCAATTCTGCAGCTCGGATTAATGTCTCAATTTCATCCTCATCATCTGCAAAACAATGTCCAATACTTTAAGGTGTATACAATGAAAGTGTTGAAACAAAGGAGAGATTAAAAAAAAAAATCTAATCACTAAAACAGGAAAATGAAAGGAATTACATACAATGAGAAAAGCACAAAGGTTACTTCTTAAAGAATATCTTTAACTGACCCCTTTGCATTGGGCCTTTTTACAACTCTTTCATACTAAAGTTCTTGAAATGCTAGGAGTGACATGATAATAATGTTCAACTATATTTTTCTGATGCAAAGATGATGCTCATACTTTATAATTCTTCCCATCACATGACTAACCTGGCCTTACTCGCACTGTAGGAGGTTCATTTGAGAATAATTCTGCTGATGATGTTCCTCTGCTTTCAATTTCACTCTGGCACTCTGAGGCACTGCTCCACACACTGTCACTGTCTTGCTCAGCTTCCTGTTCATTCATTAAAGTAAAATAAAAAACTATATACCCAAAAAAATTAAAATCCTTCTGTGGATATTTGGATCACAATCTTCTCAATATAGTTGGTATAAAAACAAAAGCCTTCTAAACCATACTTGTAAAATAATCTACATTCAAGGTCAAGTGAAATGACTGACAATGACCTTATCAGAGCACTTACTGTACAGTCTGATGGAGGCTTTTTGATTAACGATGATAGCGTATTTTGCTCTGGATAGTCATCAGCCATAATTACAAAGAGGTTAATGTCTCTGCACGGATCCAATCTGCAGAGGTGGAAAAAAAATACAAATAACTCTAACACTGTTACTCTAACTAAGAGTATTAAGCTTAATTTTGTAGAATTACAAATACAATATTTGCATTTATTCTTTTTGTGCGAATATGCGATACAATTTACAGTGTATGAAGCAAATCTATATGCACTATATAGGAAAAGAAGAAAAAGGAAAAGACCATCAAAATCCTTTACTGCAATGCTATTTGAAAATTATTTGCTAAATATTCCACACTTTCAAATCTAGTGACTTGGCTTTTACAGAATGAAGATGCTAGTCGAAGAAATACCTTCAGAAAGTGAAATACATTTCACTAATGCAGCAGGTTTTAATTTTTCATCCGATATCAAAGCATATCTTGAAACAACCATAATACTGAAACCATTTTAAAGTAGTGTTGGAAATGTAGTCTACCATAATTATTCATTACTTAAGAAGTAAATAATCACCAGCAGACACCAGCAGAGATTTTGATTTTTTTTTCTTTTCATAACTATATGATTGGTGTTCTACTCCAAATTCAACTGAAACTTATTGTGATCTGTGATGGATGGTCTAAAATATTACTGGTAGTGATTATCAATGCCACCATACTTTTGATGCTCCAGTAAAAGCTAACAAACCTTCACCTTGCGTATCATCGGTAGATCAAGCTTGAAAGGTTCCTGGTAATT